AAAATCGCAGCGGAACCCAACTTTTCCAAACCACTTGATGCCTATAAAAAATAATTTAATTAGTATATAAACATAATATGTGCATAGTATTGTTTACTACTTACCGTTCGTAAATATATAATTTGCAAATGGCCCTCAAAATTGGAAGCGGCGATGGCCAATACCTTCCAATTTTTTAAGTGCGCTGGAGCCCTCTGAAGAAATGTATAAAATATAGGTGGGGGTATTAAGGTGGGTGGGTGGTGTATACTTACATTTACGTTCTTCAAGTGAAATTCGTCGAACAGCAGAAAGAAGGGCTCGTCCACCATGAGAAATTGGAGATTGCTGGTGATCATGGTGAACCCTTGGCGAAGCGTGCCTTCCCTCCTTTCCATCCACTGTTCGAAACTTTCTTTAATCTCCAAGTTTAGCGACAAATTTCTAATATAATTCATTATTACAAAAAAAGTTGCGCCAAATTTAAAATCAAAACAAAATTAAAAACAAGGTTGCCAAATACGTAAATATTCGGTCATTAAAGGGCTGCCAAGGTAGCAATTATTCTATTAATAATAGTATCGAGTATCGAGTAAGTGAATTAAATTAAATTAAATTAAAAAGTTCATATCTGCAGTTCAGCAACTTTCGTTTTTTATATAACAAGTGTTGGTCATTTAGAATTCTGTCCAATACTCAACAGGTAATTAGTTTTCTCGCCAAAAAAAATCAAGAAAATCGGAGTAATTGCCATATAAAGGGTTAAAAAAAATCGGAGTAATTGCCATATAAAGGGTTAAATTGAAAAGTAAATTAAAAAATCAACATGATTAAAATAATAAACTTTGGTAAAAGTATTTCATAAGTATTTTAGTAAGTAAACTAACTGTAATTTGCAATCAAAATTGCAAGTATCGATTCATCGATAATCAAGTATCGATTCATCGATAATCAAGTATCGATGTATCGGAACATTTGAAATTGAAATCAAAGCATAAACAAGTGTTTAAACTTAAACATAAAACCAAACATTTGAAAAATATTCTACTTCCACAATATTGAAAAATATTGAAAAAAACCCACTTCAATCATGTCAAATATTCAAATATTTAACTTTGGTGTAAGTATTATTTTAGTACTATTTTAGTGAATATTTTAACTGGTTATTTATTTTTTCCCAGACTATCAATATGTATAACAAGGATGAGGATAACAAGGATCCAAAAACTCCAAAAGCGGTAAAAATGGAGGATCCAAAACGGATGCCCCCGCCGCCCCCGCCGGCCACGCAGGTTTCTATGTCGTCGCCATAACATAAGTATTTTAGTAAGTAATTTAACTGTTTTTTTTTAGTTTTTTGCCAGAAAATCAATGTTTATAACAAGAATATTTAAGTGTATGTATTTACTTGGTTATATTTAAGATTAATCATTTGAATTTTCATAAAATTAGTATTAACCAAATGAAAAGAAAATCAAAATTGCAAGTATCGATTCATCGATTGCGAGTATCGATGTATCGATGTAAATTGAAATCAATAGATAACATATCGTTAAAAAAAAACTTTTGTGTCTTTGACATTTCCACACAAAGCACATTTTCTCGCTAATTTTTATTTTTTTTTAAAGGAAAAAAAAACAAGTAATGTTTCATTTTTATAATTATGGTGTAAGTATTAGTTTATTAGTAGTATTAATAGTTATTAAATAATGTATTAGTTTTTTAGTATTATTTTTAGTTTATTAATTACTTTAACAATCTTTTTTGCAGACCATGAATTTTTACAATGAGGCAGTGCCCCCACCCCCGCAAGGGATGGCGCCCAGTGCCCGGCCACAGCAACGGAGTGCGCCCCGGCCTCGGCCCCCGCAAGGGATGGCGCCCAGTGCCCGGCCACAGCAACGGAGTGCGCCCCGGCCCCGGCCCCGGCCACAGCAACGGATGGCGCCCAGTCCCCCACCCCCGCAAGGGATGGCGCCCAGTCCCCCACCCTCGCAAGGGATGGCGCCCAGTGCCCGGCCACTGCAACGGAGTGCGCCCCGGCCCCGGCCACTGCAACGGAGTGCGCCCCGGCCCCGGCCACAGCCCCGGCCCCGGCCCCGGCCACTGCAACGAAGCCCAGTGCCCGGCCACTGCAACGGAGTGCGCCCAGTGCCCGGCCACTGCAACGGAGTGCGCCCAGTGCCCGGCCACTGCAACGGAGTGCGCCCAGTGCCCGGCCACTGCAACGGAGTGCGCCCAGTCCCCCACCCAGGATGGCGCCCAGTCCCCCACCCTCGCAAGGGATGGCGCCCAGTCCCCCACCCTCGCAAGGGATGGCGCCCAGTGCCCGGCCACTGCAACGGAGTGCGCCCAGTCCCCCACCCAGGATGGCGCTCAGTCCCCCACCCTCGCAAGGGATGGCGCCCAGTCCCCCACCCTCGCAAGGGATGGCGCCCAGTGCCCGGCCAGTGATGACGCCACCGTCAGTGATGACGCCACCGCCAACACAACCTGCGACACCGCCGCCGCCCCCGAGCCGGCCAGTGGCAACGCTAGTGCCAGCTAGGGAGCTCACTCTGGACCTAAGACATGCCGGCACGCCAACCTGGCACATAGACGGGCTCGGGGGCATATGGACTAGCTTAGAAAAAGAATGCCCATATTGCTTTGCCAATTTTAGGAGTATGAGGCAGTTGAACGTCCATTTCGAGCAATGCCTCCAGGAGGGAAAGGGGTTCCACTGCCCGTGGTGCCCGTTCACCAAAAAAGAGTCAAATTTTACAATGCACTTGAAATATAAGTGCAAAGGCAGGGTGGGTGTCTATTACCAGCCGGGCCCCAGGATGAGGGAGCTGTGGGCCCGGTGGGATGGGCAAATCAATCCTCCCCCCACCAATCCTCTCCCCTTTTCCCAGCCCAACTACAACTAGGTTAGATTTAGAATAGTTTAATTTAGAATAGTTAGTTTAGAATTTAATTTAGTTTTAGTTTTTTTTTTTTAGTATTTATTGTAAATAAAATAATTAAATATAATTGTAAATAAAATAATTAAATATAATTGTAAATAATTGTTTTCTTTCATTTTTCAATTTTCAGCACCAATCAAAAGAAATTTTTTCCAACATTTGTTTTCAGTGAGAAAATTTAAAATTTAACATTTAAATGTTAATTAAACATTTTAATGTTATCAACATTTTTTATTTAACATTTTATTTAACATTTCTCTCTCTGAAATTAATTATTTATTATTTTTGGTCAAAATTTTCCGTTTTTCAACACTCGAGGTGCAGAAAAAACGCGCGCGTTTTACTATTATTTTTTTTATTACTATTTTTGTTATTTTTTTTATTATTTTTATTGTTGTAATTTATTTATATGATTGTTATTAATTTGTTAACTATCTATATTGTTATTTATTTGTTTACTATTTAACTAATTATTACGCACATTAAATATTATCATTATTATTAAAATCATTAAATATTATTTATTTTTTATTTTAAGGTCATATATAAACCATAAAATATAATTTCTTTTCCTAACTTTCATTTCTATCATTTAATTTTTAAATATTTTATGAAAATAAAAAAAATACTAATTGTATAAGAACCCATTTAAAAGGTAAAATGAGAATTCAAAAATAAATTTTCATTCTGGGAGCTGATGTAAGCCGCAAGGCTCACAACCAACTGACCAGAAAACGATTGCTTGGTCTATTTATATGCAAGTTCTTCTACACTAGAGGATATATCGATGCTTACCGATGTATCGATGTTTGGAAAAGAATACCCATCGATATTAATATCGAATATGAAAAGCGACAACACGATAAGTACCAATAATAAAATTAATTTATGAACATATTTCACATAAAATATACTAATATACGGCTGTATGTATTCTTATGGATTTATCATCAATAAATGATATTCAGGGGTGCTATAAAAATCACTTCCACTTAAATTTCTCTTTCATATCACTTTAGGGTGCCGCATTTGCTGTTTTGGGTAGTTTTAAAAACACCGTCAAACATAATAATTTTAAGCAAAAATCAGTAATGAAAATGTTAAAATTCTCATGTATTATTGTTATTCTTATTTTTTAATCCAAATTCAAAATAACGTTTTTTTTCAAATCTCGTAAGAAATATGGTGTAATTTTCCGGCAACGCCACCCTTACCGCGTTGCCAGACGTCGGGAAAATACCAAAAAATACCTTAAACCTCATTCGCTAGCCCTGGAAAAAGGCCAAAGTGGCTGCTCTATCGGTGGGGCTAAAAATGGGGGTAGCTGTTTCAACAGTCGGAAACAGTGAGTCGAATCTGGTGTGCGTCGGACGTTTTTCCCCCACAGAGCTCGACCCGCGCTATTTGTGTGCTTGTTTTCTTTTAAAAATAAATAATTATCAACAAATTATATATAAATTTTATTATAATACAGTGGGTGTAAGTTCCGAGAAATAATGAGCAATTATTCTAGACAATGTTGTTAAGGTACAACTTATTAATAGCGCGCCGGTTATAATTAAATGTAGAATATATAGTGTCTATATAATATAGCACGTGCTAACAGGTACTACGGCATTAAAGGCCAATTGCCATATCGCGTGTTACAATAGCCGGCATTAAATAGAATAAAACCCAATACGGGGGCCCGGGCGCAAATAATGCCAAGCAAGAGAGAGAGAGCTACGTAAGAGGAGACGAAAGCTTAAATTAAAGCCGCCTAATTATTTATTCTCATACGATAAATACATATGCTATATATTTGTGCAGAATATATAGAAGTTCTTGTGCTAATCGCCGTGTATTCCCTTTATGTGCCGCGTATAAAAAAAAAAAAACAAAAAAATAAAAGCCTCTGAAAAAACCGGTAATTCTCTCTACTTGCGTCTCCCCATTTTTCCACCTTTTTGGCGCCCGCTTGTTGTTTTTGCTACTTTGTAACTTTGTTGTTGTTGTTTGAGGCTTGTTGCATTTTGTACTCAGGGAAAATATATAATTCACTATTTTCGGAAAAATTTCCCACACACAAACACTTTGTTTTATAATTCAAAATATAAAAAAAAAAATACAACAAAAAACCATGTAAAAGTCAAAATTATTGTGATAAGATTGGCGTGATAGCAGCGTGGGTTAATTGATTAATTATTTTGGCATTTCGCGTTCTTCGATCGAAGGATTTCCAGTTCCGAGGATGCAAAACATCGCCGAAATACCCGTCGCGAATTCAAAATTGGTTCGCGGAAACTTTCCAAAAATTCGATATCGTGATTAGTTAGTCTAAGGCTATTTCTTTTGATTTTTAAATTATTTTATCAAATATTTTTACAAGGAGTAACAGCAACAAGAGGTGCAAGTGTAGTTCATGACCAAGTGGGGCCCAGGCTGGTGGAATATTCGATTTAATCATCCGGAGCAGTGTTCTTGTGATTCATACCCTAGCCACGTTGCTGTGATCAAAAAAAAAAAAGAGAAAAAAGGGGAATAGATATTCTTGTGGTAGTGAGAGTGCCTAGTTCTGTAGTGTTCGAGTCCTAGAACCAGTTTCGTATAAGGATTCCTAGTGCCAATCCAGAATGTCCAGAAATAAGGCTGCCGCGGTCAGCGCCTTCCGGCTGCTCCTGCGTCCATCGACCGCTCCGCGCAACCGGAATCTCCTCGCCCTGCGCCTGGCTCCTGTGACGACCTTTGCCCTGGTGAGTCCTATTAATATATTACTCTATATGTGTTAGTTTTGCGTAAGTACCGAGGACAGAAACCAGCCAGAAAGTCGCGCTCCGGGGGAGCAGCTGTCATCGTGGTATTGGAATCTATAAAAAAATACACGCACTTGTTATTCACATGTGAATATAAAGGCGTGTCATATGTACCCACAATTGCGGTAAAGATATTAGGAGTTTAATAATAAAAAATTCTAATAAACAGACTTTTAATATAAACCTGAAAACTAATAAATGAAAAATAAAACTACTCATGTTTAAAGTTTTTCGTTTTTAATTAAAAACAAACTTTCTGACAGTCCAATTAAAGTTGGCTAGCTATTCCGTTTCCACCGCAGTTGTATCGGAACATATGTAGGGTCTTACACTCACATACAGCGAAATGCCAACATGTTTGCTGTGTCTTGTCCAATTTCTGGTGTGGGCACATTTTGGATGTTCCGAATTATTAAAATTTATGCAAAGAACCAGTCCAAAAATACAAGCACAAATAAACAAATATACATCTTCCCCATATTCGTTTAAATGTATGTACAATTTAAAAAGCACATATGGCCGGCCCGATTACAAGCTCTTTCGGCCTGCTTCTGGCTGTGCAAACTCCATTTCGAGTTTTATGCACTGGCTCTCCCGGATCCTCTCCACGTGGAGCTTCAAGCTCCATCCAGAGCTGTGGTTGTTGCTCCGTTGAACTTGGCACCTGCGCATCTCCCTCCGCAAAAAAGGGCAAGAAATAACAAAAACAGCTGTCAAAAATGTTTATCATCACATGACATGATGGATGGGAGGGGCGGCTATGGGGCTCTGATAGATGAGTGTTTGTTGAAGTTTTCCTCTTTGTTTTTTTGGCTTGGGACTCTGAAACCTGAGATCGCTCTTAGCACTTGTCTCAGGCTTGAGGTCGGTCAATGATTTTATTAATTAGATGAATCATTTTAACGATGCCTCGTGAGATTTTTGTTTTACTCGACTGGAGAATGCTTATCAGCTTATTGTTTGAAATTAGTCAGCAGCAACAAATAACTCGTAAAAATAATAGTAATATATAAAGTAAAAAAGTCCTCAAGAGTCTATTGCTTACAAAAAACTTTAAAGTTTACCCCCCAAAGCTTCTAAAAGTTTATTAGTTATAGTTTCTTTTGAAAAATGTCATTAGTCATTATCTGGTAGACTTCCTATATCTCCAGCTAATACCCGTTAAGTTTTTATGACGCAGACTTTCAGCTATGACGAAAAAAACGCATTCAATCGGCTTCTATTCTTTCTATTTAATTTGTATTTATATTTGTATTCCTATTTCTGTTTCTATTTTTATTGCTCTTTTGACAAACTTGATTTGCATAGAAAATGATTAAATACGCCGCTATTTACTCGACTCGAGTGCCACAGTGCCGGGCTGGCTTGGAGCTTTTGACGCGTATTTGCCCAGAGAGCGGAGCAAGCCCAGTGGGTGTTGATGGCGGCGGGAGAAATGGTGGGATTTCGTGACGAGATTATTTACTTTTTATCAGGTTATTTGCTCGTATGTCTTTGAATTTGCATTTGCTCTTTTGTTTTCTCTCCAGCCTGATTAAGGCGAGCCGGGAACAAAAAGCAACACCATTGATTGTCAAACTAAACACACAAAAGTCAAAAGCAAAGTCACCTACTTGACCCGGATTCGGTTCTACTTTGGCGTCCTAACGTGTCATAGTCTCTTCGCTTTAAACGCTCCAATTGCCATGACTCGGTTTTTTCCCTGCAAGTTAAGGCCTTGCGAAAAAGTTGCAAAATAGAGTCAGGGATTTGTGCCATTTTTGGGGGGCATCTCCTCTTTTGTTTTTCAAAGCACAGAAACTTTTATTGGCGCCATTTGGTCTGCCGCACAATACGCACACACCCGTACAGACAGAAGCAGAACGTACAGGCTCCCCTTTATTTGGCTCCCCTCTCGGAGCCAAAATCCTTTTTTCAGCTCTTTCCAGCATTTCCTTTTCAATGGGATTTTTGGCTTGCCCTCGAATTCGGGTTTTTGTGCATTGTGTTGCCATTTGTTTTGCTTTATTCCTGTTTCCTCCGCCCAAAGCATTCCGGGGTGTGGCACGTTCTTGTAAATACTGAACACATGTGTACATGTACATTGTCCTGTGGCAGGACAACATTTTGAATATATTTAGAAACTTATTTCCTTAAAAAAAAGTATTTAAAGAAAAGAACATTTGGTTACATTTGTATAAAAAGTTAATAAATAAATTATAAACAAATAAGAAATGGTTTAAAAAATAACAAAAAGTTACAATCCCATAAACAGAGTTTTTTTAATATATTATTTTCATATACATATATGTATCTAAAAGTATGGTGGCTCACAGCTTATTTCAAGCACCATTTATTTATGGTTTAAAAGACCTGTACAAATTATATTAAAGCCGGTTTGAAAAATATTGAGAATCAGCTTATTGAAAATATTATTCATCTAATATATATAGTATATAGTACACCATATATATTTAAAAAAAAAAGATGGTCAAAAAATCGTCAATCAAGAATGATTTAAACGGTTCCTTAAAAGGGTTGTAATATAAAATATTATATAAATTTATCTTTAAACTATTTATCCATAAAACACGACATGGATTTAATCCGTTCGAATTGGGCCAAGCTCTCAAATTTCGTTAATATATAGTCTTTTATTTGTTGAAAAATATCAGAAAAATTGTTGTACCTAAATTGTACTAAAGACGGACTTTTAATAATTTTTGTTGAAATAAAGTTTATTTTTTTCCGTTTTTTTAAATTACAAAAAGACCTTGGTTGAAATAAGCTGTGAACCACTGTATATGTTTCGCACAGTTTGCCAGATATACCCGTTATAGCTGGTATCGTTACTATTCCTGCGCCCTCAGTTGTAAAATTTAATATGAATTTACTTTCTCGGTAAACAATTATTTTGTTTTTGGCTATTGCACGGATGGGGGATCAATTTATATTTGATTAAATGTGCGAGTGCAATGATTCGGGCTCTGCAACGGGCTCTGTTTGGGCAAGAGTGTGTGTGCGAGCAAACACAGACACCGTGTGCATAAAGCCCGATGGACTGGCAAACAAAAACAACGCAATATTTATGCAAATGGAATTCATCATATCCACAGTAAACCCGACCAGGTCGTACATAATGCAGCGAAAGGTCAGCGGCTTTAAGCCAGAGCTTATGGTCATTTGGTGCATGGGAAATGGAACTCTTTGCAAAGCTGCTCATTAAATCAGGCTTAGTAAGCGAGACTTAAAATTCACTTTTCTGCTGTGCAAGTTTTCCCGCTTATTCGTTACACTTTTCATAGTATTCTTGGGCCTTGCACGTACATTTCTCAAGATAAAATTTTAATCTACTCAGTTGAAGCTTTAAAGTAAACTACCTTGACTCTATTTTCAGGAGATCTAATGCCACAAAATGCAACTAAATCTGTCTATTACTGTCTATAAAATCAGTTTAAATTTGGTTTTTCCCAGTGCTCTATCCACTGTCTTCATTTGACTTTCTGCATTTATTAAAAGTTTACCTTTTATCGCAGTGACATCTTTTGATTTAAATCATAATCCCAACCGCATTTGCAACTTTTCAGTTCTAGTTCTCAGCCGCAGGTCCCCCTCCTATTATAGCCTTTACTTTCTAACTTTTTGAATCTACCTCTTAACCGTCATTAACTATTGTTTGATCAGTAACTTTTCCGTGCTTTCACCTTAAAGTCTCCTCGAAGCCTTCGACTTAACCCTTGCACAAACATTCGAGCCGCAGAAAATCTGCATGTTGTATGTAGGAGCAGATTTTCCCCAACGCCCACCCAACCAGACCATTATCCTTCTCCGCAGGGCTTTTCCTTGCAAACTTGTGCACGTTTTCGCACATTTATCAGTGCTGCGGAATCTTTGCTTAGCTATCAGGGAGAACCGAAAAGCAAATTTCCCAGCCAGACGCTGCAGAAATATTTGCATACATATATGCAGGGCGTGTAGTTGGCATACATCCTAATTCTGTCGGGAGCGTCGAGAAGAGGTCCTGATTATACGCGTAATTAATGCCATCGTGTGCTGCGGAGGCCTAGTCGATGTTGCCAACTAGTGGGACCTCATTAGGCCTGTCACTGCCGCTTCATCAGCAAAACTTAAAGTTATGCCTTCGAAATTGCCGGCATAACTTGGTCGTAACATTGTTCTGCTGACAAATAGCTATAAGCATGAACTTGTGGCCAAACATTAACCTAACACTTGAGAAAAAGTAGTGTTCTTTAATAACAAATATTTGTAAATTATATATAACATTTAAGAGTATGGTTGTGTAGCTCTAATTAAGAACCATGTCTAGTAGATTATTAAATAGATTAATTCATTCTAAGACTTTTTTTTCAGTTTACGAATAATCCATTTTGCCAAGCCATTGACCCATTTAGACCACTCAGCAAGTAAATATAATAAACCCTACGATTTAATCGCAGTGTATCCACATTTATGTTTATCTCTTCGCATCTCTGGGCCTGGTAGCCAAATAGTAATATAAGTTTGCCCGAGTTAGCCTCTGCGTGTCCCGGCCATGGCTCTGCACTTGACTTCTGGTGTGGCAAGGGCGCCACCCTACACGCCCCGCAACTTGTCGGTTTCAATGTTCGCTTTGATGTTTATCTAATGACTCTGCGCCAAGCCGGGCTGCATGTGTATCTAATAGATACAAGTGGTCGGAAGCCCTTTCTCCCCTATCCAAATCCCACACTTGTAATCTAATCCCCAAAACTATTTCAGAGCAGGTTAAGCTGTAAGCGCCAGGGGACCCAGCAGTGCACACTTTACCCCGTTCCTTTCGTTATCAGTTTGTGGCGCTCTTCTGATACGAGCACTTATCGGCACTCGCTGAATGAATTTGTATGTGCTCGCATATAAATGCTCCATTTTCCACGCATAACTCACTTGATTTGACGGGCCACACGACCAGCAGCCAGTACAAA